TCTCTTCACAGGAAGGGCAATGGCTATAAGAAGATTGCAAAGATGTTAAACATACCAAGAGACACCTTAGGAAGCATCATTCGCAAATTCAAGGCAAAGGGCACTGTTGAAACGCTACCTGGTCGTGGCAGAAAGAAGATGCTGACTTCGACTGCTGTGCGCTACCTGAAGCGTAGAGTGGAGAGAAGTCCCCGTGTGACTGCTGAGGAACTGAGAAAAGATTTGTCAGATGTGGGTACAGAAGTTTTCAGCCCAGACAATAAGACGCACACTGCGTAATGAAGGCCTCCGTGCCAGAACTCCCAGGCGTACCCCCTTGCTGTCTCCAAAGAATAAGAAGAGTCGACTGCAGTATGCCAAAAGCCATGTGGACAAACCACAAAAGTTGTGGGATAGTGTTCTGTGGACTGATGAAACAAAATTAGAACTGTTTGGGCCCATGGATCAACGCTATGTTTGGAGGAGGAAGAACAAGGCCTATGATGAAAAGAACACCTTGCCTACTGTGAAGCATGGTGGAGGGTCAATCATGCTTTGGGGCTGTTTTGCTTCTGCAGGTACAGGGAAGCTTCAGCGTGTGCAAGGTACCATGAATTCTCTTCAGTACCAGGAGATATTGGATGGAAACGTGATGCAGTCCGTCACACACCTGAGGCTTGGGAGACGTTGGACCTTTCAACAGGACAATGATCCCAAGCATACCTCCAAGTCCACTAGAGCATGGTTGCAGAGGAAAGGCTGGAACATTTTGGAGTGGCCATCGCAGTCACCAGACTTAAATCCGATTGAGAACCTCTGGTGGGACTTAAAGAAAGCAGTTGCAGTGCGCAAGCCTAAGAATGTGACTGAACTGGAGGCCTTTGCCCATGAAGAATGGGCGAAGATACCCGTAGATCGCTGCAAGACACTTGTGTCAAGCTATGCTTCACGTTTAAAAGCTGTTATAACTGTAAAAGGATGCTGTACTAAGTACTAAGATTGAATGTCACTTGGGGGTTGAATAAAACTGATAATGCTGTGAGCACAGAAAAGACATTTGTGGTTATTTCATTATAACTGTTATGTTATATTTGTCTGACCTACAAGTGCCTCTTTAATGTAAATGTAAGCAAGATGACTGAATGATCAAAAGCAATGTCAAACTGGCCAAAACACTCAATTTCAGTGGGGGTTGAATAATTTTGGACACAACTGTATACCTCCCTTTGTAAACACTAGAACGTTCACCAATTAATTTACATGTATTGGGAATTTTTTTAGCAAAGACATGGAGCAGAATACATTTTGGCCTAAATTTATGAGGAAATTTGATTTTTTCTAATTTTTTTACTGGACATGTTTTATAGCAAAAAGTCAAAAATATAGTTTTTTTTTTTTTCAAAATTGTCAGTCTTTTTTTTTTATAGAGCAAAAAAATTAAAAACATACAAGTGAAAAATTCCAATGAAAGAAAGCTCCATTTGTGGGGAAAAAAGGACATAAATTTAAATTGGGTTCAGTGTTGCATGACTGCCCGGGGTCAGTAGGGGGCCCCATGAGATGCCCCTGGTACCTTTTTCATAGGCTTTTTTGAGTTTGGGCAAGGACACAGGGGCCCCATGATCCCTTATTGCCCAGGGGCCCCATGAGTTGTAAGTCCGCCTCTGGTATATACTTTCCCCTCAGTGGCGATGCCGAAGAAGTCAGAAACCGGAACTCGGAAACCGGAACTCGGCTTCACAATGAGGCTTGGAGTACAGCCGCTCCATCATCTGTGCTCGCTGCTAGAGAATTTCTCCTCGCATTTGGCGAGCAGACGAGCAACTTTTTCAAGCCCTGTCTTAGACCTTCTTGTGCAAAAGCTATAAAAAGTGAAGCTGACGATGTACTGTACACACTCCTCTGAAATGTCCAAAAAAAAGCCCAGGAAAAAGAGAGAAGATTGGATAGATTCCAGTCATGCTTGTTGTGTACATTTATCATTTAGAAGAGCACAAAGTTGGACCTTTTTTATACCGACTGCATAGATATGGTAGATTCTTTGTAGACATAGCAGGTTGATGGCCTCATCTAAAAGTAATCTTCTCCCTCTTTGTCTATATTATGTCTTGGCTGTTGCCAAGTGGAGTGATGACACAATGGGTTCTGTTAGAGTTTACTTCCATACCTTGTCTCACGGCCAAAAATGTAACCTCTGGAAGAACCTCATAAACCATCATCTTTAGAGTCCATTCTGTGCTTGCTACACATCTGTGAAGAGTTCATGGCAAGACTACTTCTTCTTCACGCAAGAAACCATAGAAGAGGGAAATACTAAATCAATTTTGTAACCTCCTATTTTTAGAGTTTGCAGCAAATAGATCCCTCTTTACGTGTTTCTACTAATTTCAAAAACAATCTACAGTATATTTATGTCTGACTGTATTTCAATTCATATGCAGTGCTTAGCATTTCATTTAAAAATTTACACAAATGATAGAATATAGCAGCAAAATGTTGGATGCAGAAATCAGCACCAGGGACTACCATGTATAATATATCTTGTTTTATTGAGGATCCATTGAAACATTGATATATAGAGATGTTTCAGGATATGCAAAACCTCTTATCAGGAGATGTATATTGTGCAGTATACAGTATGTATTAAATGGCCAAAAATGTGTGTCCACCTAACTATCACACCTATAGTATATAAGGTTGATGGACCAAACCATTTACATTAATATGGAGTCAATCCCCCTTTCAATTTACAGCTTCCACTGTTCAGGGAAGGCTTTCCTCAGACTTTTATAGGGTGCCTGTGGGAATTTGTGGCTATTTGTCCAACAGAATATTCAAATGGGTAGTTTCTGATGTTGGGCAGGAAAACCTGGATCGCAATCAGCATTACAGTTCATTCCAAAGTCATTCAGGTTTGAAGTCATGGCTCCTTGCAAGTTGCTTGAATTCCTCCACGCTAAACCTATCAAACCATACAGTCAGGTCCATAAATATTGGGACATCGACACAATTCTAACATTTTTGGCTCTATACACCACCACAATGGATTTGAAATGAAACGAACAAGATGTGCTTTAACTGCAGACTGTCGGCTTTAATTTCCATGGCCAGGTGTGTGTTATTCCCTCATTATCCCAATTACAGTGAGCAGATAAAAGGTCCAGAGTTCATTTCAAGTGTGCTATTTGCATTTGGAATCTGTTCCTGTCAACTCTCAAGATGAGATCCAAAGAGCTGTCACTATCAGTGAAGCAAGCCATCATTAGGCTGAAAAAACAAAACAAACCCATCAGAGAGATAGCAAAAACATTAAGCGTGGCCAAAACAACTGTTTGGAACATTCTTAAAAAGAAGGAACGCACCGGTGAGTTCAGAAACACCAAAAGAATCGGAGACCACGGAAAACAACTGTGGAGGATGACCGAAGAATTCTTTCCCTGGTGAAGAAAACACCCTTCACAACAGTTGGCCAGATCAAGAACACTCTCCAGGAGGTAGGTGTATGTGTGTCAAAGTCAACAATCAAGAGAAGACTTCACCAGAGTGAATACAGAGGGTTCACCACAAGATATAAACCATTGGTGAGCCTCAAAAACAGGAAGGCCAGATTAGAGTTTGCCAAACGACATCTAAAAAGCCTTCACAGTTCTGGAACAACATCCTATGGACAGATAAGACCAAGATCAACTTGTACCAGAGTGATGGGAAGAGAAGAGTATGGAGAAGGAAAGGAACTGCTCATGATCCTAAGCATACCACCTCATCAGTGAAGCATGGTGGTGGTAATGTCATGGCGTGGGTATGTATGGCTGCCAATGGAGCTGGTTCTCTTGTATTTATTGATGATGTGACTGCTGACAAAAGCAGCAGGATGAATTCTGATGTGTTTCAGGCAATATTATCTGCTCATATTCAGCCAAATGCTTCACAACTCATTGGACGCCGCTTCACAGTGCAGATGGACAATGACCCAAAGCATACTGCAAAAGCAACCAAAGAGTTTTTTAAGGAAAGAAGTGGAATGTTATGCAATGACCCAGTCAATCACCTGACCTGAATCCGATTGAGCATGCATTTCACTTGCTGAAGACAAAACTGAAGGGAAAATGCCCCAAGAACAAGCAGGAACTGAAGACAGTTGCAGTAGAGGCCTGGCAGATCATCACCAGGGATGAAACCCAGTGTCTGGTGATGTCTATGCGTTCCAGACTTCAGGCTGTAATTGACTGCAGTGGATTTGCAACCAAGTATTAAAAAGTGAAAGTTTGATTTATGATTATTATTCTGTCCCATTACTTTTGGTTCCTTAACAAGTGGGAGGCACATATGCAAACTGTTGTAATTCCTACACTGTTCACCTGATTTGGAGGTAAATACCCTGAAATTAAAGCTGACAGTCTGCAGTTAAAGCACATCTTGTTTGTTTCATTTCAAATCCATTGTGGTGGTGTATAGAGCGAAAAATGTTAGAATTGTGTCGATGTCCCAATATTTATGGACCTGACTGTATCTTGATGGAGTTTATACACAGGTAATCGGGCTGTAGCATTAACAGGACCCTTCATTGGAAGCATCTGAACTCAATTGTGTGTGTCGTGTACTTCTGGATTGAGAAAGGATCTTGCATCACTAAGTCACTGTATGTGGCACTATGGTTTGTAATAAAGTATTTTGTTGTGGGAATTTAATATTGGATGCATAATAAAAGGAACTGTTCCCAGTTTCAAAAAGAACTAAACTCTTGAAGCTGTGCCAAAAAGCAAGAAGTGGGTGAAGGGTAGTCATCATTATCACTTGTAGTCTCCTGGTCTCCCTGCAGCTGATCTTTTCACCATTACTGACTTACTGTGCATAATTCTGCATTGGATTGCACGGTGGAGGTAGCCATCTTGGTAGAGGCAGGGATTTTCTTCCTCATATGAGAATTTCTAGCAAAGATAGAAGTCAGCAGAACACTAGCAGTGACATCAACAAATCTTAAATTGTTCCTAAACCCAGTACCCTGCATTCACTATATCCAGTCTCCCACGACCCTGCATTCACTATATCCGGTCTCCCCGGACCCTGCATTCACTATATGCGGTCTCCCCGGACCCTGCATTCACTATATCTAGTCTCCCTGGACCCTGCATTCACGATACCTGGTCTCCCAGGACCCTGCATTCACTATATTCAGTCTCCCCACACCCTGCATTCACTATATCTGGTCTCCTCGGATCCTGCATTCACTATATCTGGTCTCCCCGGACTCTGCATTCACTATATCTGGTCTCCCTGGACCCTGCATTCACTATATCTGCCCTCCCCAGACCCTGCATTCACTATATCCGGTCTCTCAGGACCCTGCATTCACTATATCTGGTCTCCCCGGACACTGCATTCACTATATCCGGTCTCGCAGGACCCTGCATTCACTATATCTGGTCTCCCAGGACCCTGCATTCTATATCTGGTCTCCCTCGACCCTGCCTGCATTCACTATATCTGGTCTCCCAGGACCCTGCATTCAGTATATCTGGTCTCCCCGGACCCTGCATTCACTATATCTGGTCTCCCCGGACCCAGCATTCACTATATCTGGTCTCACCGGACCCTGCATTCTCTATATCTGGTCTCCCCGGACCCTGCATTCACTATATCTGGTCTCCCCGGACCCTGCATTCACTATATCTGGTCTCCCCGGACCTTGCATTCACTATATCTGGTCTCCCCAGACCTTGCATTCTGTATATCTGGTCTCCCCGGACCCTGCATTCACTATATCTGGTCTCCCCGGACACTGCATTCAGTATATCTGGTCTCCCCGGACCCTGCATTCACTATATCTGGTCTCCCCGAACCCTGCATTCACTATATCTGGTCTCCCCGGACCCTGTATTCACTATATCCGGTCTCTCAGGACCCTGCATTCACTATATCTGGTCTCACCGGACCCTGCATTCTCTATATCTGGTCTCCCCGGACCCTGCATTCACTATATCCGGTCTCCCCGGACCCTGTATTCACTATATCTGGTCTCCTCAGACCTTGCATTCTCTATATCTGGTCTCCCCGGACCCTGCATTCACTATATCTGGTCTCCCCGGACACTGCATTCAGTATATCTGGTCTCCCCGGACCCTGCATTCACTATATCTGGTCTCCCCGGACCCTGCATTCACTATATCTGGTCTCACCGGACCCTGCATTCTGTATATCTGGTCTCCCCGGACCCTGCATTCACTATATCTGGTCTCCCCGGACCCTGCATTCTCTATATCTGGTCTCTCCCCGGACCCTGCATTCAGTATATCTGGTCTCCCCGGACCCTGCATTCAGTATATCTGGTCTCCCCGGACCCTGCATTCAGTATATCTGGTCTCCCCGGACCCTGCATTCACTATATCTGGTCTCCCCGGACCCTGCATTCACTATATCTGGTCTCACCGGACCCTGCATTCACTATATCTGGTCTCCCCGGACCCTGCATTCTCTATATCCGGTCTCCCCGGACCCTGCATTCACTATATCCGGTCTCCCCGGACACTGCATTCAGTATATCTGGTCTCCCCGGACCCTGCATTCACTATATCTGGTCTCCCTGGACCCTGCATTCACTATATCCGGTCTCCCCGGACCCTGCATTCACTATATCCGGTCTCCCCGGACCCTGCATTCACTATATCCGGTCTCCCCGGACCCTGCATTCACTATATCTGGTCTCCCACAGTACACGGGACATGGAAATGCAAATATTTTAGTAAATATAAACTGTTAAATACTTTTTCTCATCAGCAGTATATAGCAGTCTTGTGACTTCTATCAGTATCCAGCTGAGCACTGGTTAAAGCTTGTAGGAGGTATTTTCATTGTGCCCTGATTGTCCTATGAGGTTGCATAACCCCTGACCCTATGTCTGGACAGTGATTATTGGTCCTGTGCTGATCACATGCACCCTCCCAAGAAAAAAAAAAATAATCTCTACCAAAACACAGCAAACTAAGCATGTGTGCAGCTTGCCCTCAAGGCTCTGTTATCTCAGCAGATGGATTGGGGACAGTCGAAGAAATGGAGGATCAGAGAAGAGCAAACATCTTTTTTTGTACAATGCGTAGGAAAAACCCCTTAGGTTCCACAGTGAGTATAACAAGCATGCTTCACTGCATATACAAAAAGATTTTACTGTAGTGGGTTTAGTAATGCTTTAAGCTCAGTACACACATACCGTAAGTTGGCCAGTTCAGCAGGAACCAGCCAACGTTCGGTACATGTGTACTGCTGTCTGTTCAACAAAAGCTGGTCTAATGATCGATGATTATGTCTAATGGTCCTGCTGGAAAAACAGCAGTTGATCGATTTTTTTTAAAAAGCAGCATAGTAGCTAAATGGTCAGCACTTCCGCCTGGCAGTACTAGGGTTGTTGGTTTGAATCCCAGCCACAGCACCACCTGCCTGGAGTTTGCATGTTCTCCCTGTGCCTGCGTGGGTTTCCTTCAGGTCCTCTGGTTTCCTCCCACAATCCAAAGACATTCTGGTAGGTAAATTGGCCCTAGTATGTGTATGAATGTGAGTTAGGGACCTTAGATTGTACACCCCTTGAGGGTACCTGTAATAAAATAATACTAATATATATATATATATAGTTCATTCAGAAAGTGTTCAGACCCCCTCCACTTTTTTCAATGTTGTTATGTTGTAGCCTGATACTGCCGTTGTTTAAATTCACTTTTCATTCTCATTAATCTATACTCAGTACACCATAATGTCAAAACAAAAAAAGAAAAAAACTGAAATATCACATTGGCATGAGTATTCAGACCCTTTGCAACAGCATTTGAAATTGAGCTCAGGTGCCTCCCAGTTCTCTTGATCAATGCTGAGATGTTTCTACACAGTGATTGGAGTCCACCTGTGGTAACTAAAATGACTGGACATGATTTGGAAAGGCACTTACTTCTCTATAAAAGGTGTCACAGCTGGCAATACTGTATCAGAGCAAAAGCCATGAGGTCAAAAGGAAACTGCCTGCAGAGCTCAGAGAAAGGATTATTGCAAGTTACAGATCTGGGGAAAGCTATAAAAATAATTTTGCTGCGCTGACGGTTCCCAAGAGCACAGTGACCTCCATAACTCACAAATGTGAAGAAGTTTGGCACAACCAGTACTCTTCCATGAGCTGGTCACCTGACCAAACTGAGCAACTGGGGGAGAAGGACCTTAGTAAGAGAGGTGACCAAGAACCCAATGGTCACTCTGACTGAGCACCAGAGATCCTGTGTGGCCATGGGACAAAGTTCCAGAAGGACAACCACCACTGCAGCCCTCCATTGATCTGGGCTTTATGTCAGAGTGGCTAGACGGAAGCCTCTCCTCAGTGCAAAATACGTGAAAGCCCTCTTGGAGTGTGCATAGGTTGTATATTCAATATATTAAAGTGGATCCTCACCACTTGCCTCAAAAGCTTACAATTTAAATGATAGCTGTAATTTGCACCTCCTCTCCTTTTCACTCCCCATCTAAGCAATAGCCCCCTACTACAGACCTCAATTAAGTTAGTGAACTCCTTCACCCCATGAGGCCCATGTTGGCTATGATGGTCCTACCTCCCTATGTCTAGTCCAGCAGGCAGCTGCAGGCTGGCATGTACAGTATTTCCATTGTTGATAGACTCAGTAAGAAAAGTCATCTCTCTGCAAGGTTGCGAGTAGATGGACCTTTCACAAGAGGTTGTCAGCTACCTGAGGTCTGCAGTATTGGTACAGATGGATGCAGGAGGGTTAGGGATGTCCTAACGGATCTAAAAGTACTTTTATCCCATTTATCCTTTAAGTTCCCTATCACAGTCTTACATATCGGGTAATTCTAACAATTTTTGACTGATGGTAGGAAGCTGGGGCACTTGGAGGAAACACATGCACTCCATGCAGACTGTCCTAAAACCAGGACCTCATCACTACAAGACCATGATATTAATCCCAAGGCTACCATAGTGCCTGCATTCCTTTCAGAAACGCCTCCATATCTGAGTAGCATATTTGGTCACAGGAAAGAACAGAACAGCATAGATCTAAGAGGCAGATGCCAATATCAAGCAGCACGTATATATCTGGCGATTAACCCTTTGTGTATGACCGTGTAATTCCTTGTGGTCGCATTACATCACAAAGGCCTCTGAAGGAACTGGCTTCTGTAGCGAAGCTGTGGTAAAGAGCAACCCAAGGTGAAATATGGACTTTCAAAAGCATTTTATTCCTTAAACCGAGACCTGAGGAAACCACATTAATTAAAGGTTTAGCAAGCGTGGCCATTGTGGTAGCAGAGTGTTGGTGGTGAGGCAGAGTGGGGGCAGTGTGACTGCCTGCCCAGCGAATCAGTTCTCTCTATACGGTATTCTCATTAAAGGGAACGCTTAGTCTTTTAAATTGGGATTTTTTTAAATATGCGCATAGTGATCAACTTGATGCATATAATCTTACTAGGGTGCAGTAATGGTTTTTTCAAATCTTGTTTCTGTGCATAATTTATGGGTTACGTGAAGGTAGTCACATTACATGCACATCTGGGCAGGCTCTACTTTCTATTCAGCAGTGCTGCACAATGGTTGTGCTTTACTGCTCCCCCCCTAGGGGATCGTTCTTCCCAAGTACATTGATCTGCATTGAATTGATCAAATGCAGGCTTGGAGCAGGGATACAACCAATACTGGGGAAAAATGTATTGTACAACCAGGCTGCATAAAGTATGGCTCAACGTATACAGATATTGTTTTTGGATATATTTTATTCATTTTTAAATATTCATTCCCATTAGGTCACAATGCTTTTTATTATTATTAGTAGTAGTAGTAGTATTTATAAATATTATTATTATTATTATTAGTAGTAGTATTTATAATTATTATTATTATTTTATTATTAATATTATTATTATTAGTAGTAGTAGTAGTAGTAGTAGTAGTAGTGTTTATTATTATTAGTAGTAGTATTTATTATTATTAGTATTATTATTATTATTATTAGTAGTAGTAGTAGTAGTAGTAGTAGTATTTATTATTATTATTAGTAGTAGTAGTAGTAGCAGCAGTAGTATTTATTATTATTAATAGTAGTAGTAGTATTTATTATTATTAGTATTATTATTATTATAGTAGTAGTAGTAGTAGTAGTAGTAGTAGTAGTAGTAGTAGTATTTTATTATTATTATTATTATTAGTAGTAGTAGTAGTAGTAGTAGTAGTATTTATTATTATTAGTAGTAGTAGTAGTAGTATTTATTATTATTATTATTATTATTATTAGTAGTAGTAGTATTTATTATTATTATTATTAGTAGTAGTAGTAGCAGTAGTAGTATTTATTATTATTATTATTATTAGTAGTAGTAGTAGTAGTATTTATTATTATTAGTATTAGTAGTAGTAG